ACCGGGGGGCTTTGGGGAGAAAAAGGAAAAAATAAAATCTTAAAAAAAAAAAAAAAACTTACTCGCTGAAATGAAGCAAAACAAAGAAATGCCGCTATAACAAACCACAGAGGGGTAAGAAGCGTTTGTTGCCTCTGCTTTTCCCCTCTGTAGAGCACTGTGCCTTTCTGCATTTAGGCCCCATTTCCTTTAATCCTAAGTGGTCAAGCGTATCAAAAAATGTGCTGGTATAACTGCTTCCATGTGTGTACATGTACAATTTAGAGGGCACAAGAAACAAAAGTATAAATCTTGAGCCAGAATATTTTCAGTTGTTATTTCTTGAAGACAAAGTTTGCTGCAACTGGAAATCTGGCTGAGGCCAATTACCAGGTGAAACATGAACTACAAAGACCGATCTCCAGTAAAATCTGTCTCCCAATGAAACTGAGGGCTTAGATCATCATTCATTTCTTCATTCGTTAAACTAACATTTGTTGACTGATCATGACATCCAGAACACCATGCTTGACATGACATCAATATCAGAGAAATATACCGGTCAACGGACATTCAGGAGAAATAAACAACCAGATGAAACAGAATAACGCTTTCTCTTCTTAAAGGCATTCAATTGGTATGCCCCTGCTGTTGGGTATTTCAAGTTTTTTACGTATAATACAAATGCTATCTCACCCTAATGGCCTTCAGCTGTAGGTGGCACAGTGCAGTGGTATCAGCAGTGACTCTGGAGCCAGGCTGCCTGGACTACATCCTGGCTCTGTCATCTCCTAGCTTTGTGACCTTGGGCAAGCTACTTAAGCTCTCTTTCTCAGTTTACAGATCTAGAATGTAGGGACAATAAGAGTACGGATTTCCTAGGGTTGATATGATGACTGATTTACTATTTGTAAAGTGCTTAGAACAGTGCCTGACATATAACAAAAGCTGTGCACATGTCTGTTAAAGAAAACATTTTACATGTTTTCACTGGTAACATATTCATAGTAAAAGCAACTAATTACCACAGCATAAAATGTAGAGCAGAGGTGAAGCTGGTTCTTAAGTGACATTTTTTTAGATTTAGGATGTGGTCAATTAAACGTTAAATTTCTGACTTATTACATATTTTCATTATGAAAAGAGCACAGTCTTACTTTAGAATATCATCTTAACATCTCACTGTATCTGGAAAGATTATAACTTAATATTTGGTCCCCAAGGCTAATAGTCCCTTTTCCTACCTTCCATCCTGGAAAGCCTTGCTGTGCCCCCTTGGAGTTCTGATCTGCTCTTGGCCATGCACATACGGAATGCACGGACAGAGGCATATCTCTGCTGTCCCCCAAAATATAAGGGACTGTAAAATTGTTTTTTTAACTGATGCAGTTACTCCAGAATGACAATATTACTATCACCCAAGTGACAAAATAATGCTACTAAAAAGCAGGAGCCCTGTCTTGAATACTAGTACATCAGGCAACTTTGGTGTCCTCAGCATTTAGCACACCACAGAAATTCAATGAATGTAAGTTAACTTAAAAGTTAAGGAAAGAGGCTCCACAGGAACAAGTATCTAGCAACAGTATGCTTTAGTTTAGTATTCTCCAAGCTTTTCTGATCAATAAAAAAATTTTCATTGCATCTCCAATATATGTAATTTATAGATAACCTACAATTGTCAAACTAGATAATAAATATTAATAAAGCTTAGTTGCTTATTTTTTTTAGATAACAAGTAAATATAAGCAGATGCTCTAATATATTCCTGTCATACTCAACAGGTCATCTTGCATATCCCACTCTGCAAACTACTCCACTAGTGGAGCAACCATGACAGCTGTCATCAAATAAAGGATGGAGCCTTAAAGAAAGAGGCAGCAGCACAGCTGAGCAATTCTGCTCATTACATGAACCAGAAGAGACGCAGGTGAAGCGATCGGTCCTGGGGGACTCTCCCCCATATCCTCCCTTGCCCTCTCCCTTGCCCTGGCAGCTCCTTTTAGGCACATCTCGAAGGTACCAATAGCCCCGAGATTTCCATGTCACTATTTGACACCTTGTCCCCTAGAACATGAATGAAACAAGGAAGCAGAGCTAGATATGGCCATGCTAATGATTACAATCAAGAAGCAGTGGCAGTCCTCAGGTTCAGCACTGCCACTGACCAAAGACAAGTATCTTGACTCAAGAGTTCCCACAGCAACCTTCCCCAGAACCCTGCTGGGCCAGGCCATCTGCTCTCGATTGACTGAGTCATCTGCTGTCTAAAGTAGCAACTTAGATAGCATCCTGAAGACAAGTTTCACTAAGTGTTTGATATTAGTTGAGCCTTCTGTTCCAGTAGTGTTCCAGTACTGATTCTGGTGAGTGTTAAAGATAGAGAATTCACAAGATTCAGTCTTTGTCCTTGAAGAACACATATTATAGCAGAAAAGCAAGTAATTATGATAAACCTGAAGACAGGAATGCAAAGAATTTTGCTAGGAAAACCAACAGAGAGCAGGTAATATCTGATCAGGGCCTATAAAGCATGAGTATATATATTCACCAGGAGGAGAGGCGGTGGTCAGGGCACTTCAGGCAGAGAAAAGGACATATGCAAAAGCATGAAATTACAGCAAGGTCTGGAGAATTGGAGAAGTTCTGTGTGGCTATAATGTGGTGACTGGGGGAGGGAATGGAGAGGAGTTGGAAATGAAGCTACATCATAAAGGGCCTCGTACGCCATATTACAAAATTTAATTACATTCTGTAACAGGTTATACATGCCACTAAAATGGCAGGATAAGATCTATGTTGGTAGTAGAGTAGATAACAGAGGAGAAGGGAAATAAAAATTAGAACAATCAAACTTTGCGCTATTGCCCACTCATGTTCACAGCAGTATTTTATTCACATTAGCTGAAAGGTGGAAGCAACCCAACTGTCTGGCGATGGGTGACCAGACAAGCAAAATGTGATATATACAAACAACAGAATATGATTCACCCTTAAAAAGAAAATTCTGACACATACTATAACATGGATGAACCTTAAGGACATTATGCTAAGTGAAATAAACCAGTGACAAAAAGACAAATACCGTATGATTCCACTTATATGAGGTACTCAGAGTAGTCAAATTCATAGAGACAGAAAGTAGAATGGTGGTTGCCAGTGGCTGGGGTAGGGGGAAATGGGAGCTGTTTAATGGGTATAGTTTCAGTTTTGCGAGACGAAAAAATTCTGGAGATTGGTGCACAATAACGTAAATATACTTAACATTACTGAACTGTACACTTAAAAATGGTTAAAATGGTAAATTTTATATTATGTGTACTTCATCACAATTTTTTAAAAGGCTATAACCAAAGTCCAGTCAAAGATGACATAAGGGTAAACCAGAGCTGTGACAAGAGAGTGAATTCACAAGATGCTGAGACAGTATATTCAACAAAGCTTCCTGATCAACATGAACTAGCAAGTGGAGGAGGAGTTGGGGATAACTCTGAGTTGTCAACCCAGTAGATGATGATCTTACATTAATCACTATACTAGACAAACCTGTTCATGAGAAAGAAGATTCATTCATTTACTCATGCTTTCATTCAAACAACTTTTTTTTAACCTGTTATGTGCCAAGCACTGTCTGGGAAATCATAACAGAATAAAAAAGATCAAATCCTTGCCCTCACAGAGCTAACAATCTAATGGTAGCATCATACGATAGCAAGCAGGTATAGGACATGATATATGGTATAATAAATAATGTGATGAAATGAAAGCACTTCTCCTACAAGAAAAATAAAGGAGGGGGAGGAGGTGACATTTAAGCAGAAACTCGCATGAAGAGAAGCAGCAGCTACAACTTTTTGATAAATAAAAACAGAAAATGTTTAGTCTGTCATCCTCAAATGGTTAGGTAATGATCAGTTTAAAAGTAGATCATTTGATAGGAATATGGACAAAAACTTGAATATTAAAATACAATTAAACTGTGTATTCTCCTTATATTTAGGTGTTCTTTACTGCAAAGCAATTTACTAATTTACAACACTGTTCTTCATGTTACTTAAGTCAAAAAACTACGAATAATTCTTTCTCTGAAATAGAAGCATGCATATGGTGGTGGTGGCCTCCAGGGCATTAGATTTATAAACATAGTACTTAAAATGACTTTAAAAACACAAACTTTTCCTTTTTGTTAAAGATGTTAAAGAAAAAACACTACTTAAGACTAGAAAGAAGTGCATAAGCTTAATCAGTGGAACTCAAATATATAGTAAGAATTTCAAAACCATGGCAATTATAAAAATTGTGATTACAATCAAAAGATTAACATTTTTTAAAGTTTGTGGTCATCAGATCTGTGATTTCTGAGTCAGTTTTATTTTCCTAAGGCCACATTTCCAATACGGTTAGGAAAAACACATACTACTGGAATGGAAAGAGTGCTGTGATCCTCTAACTTTACAGGTCAAGAAACTACATCCAAACAAGGTGAAAGACCTGGGGACGGTCAGATAAAGAAGCACTATCACAACAAGGCACAGAGCCAAGGTCCCTGCACTCTGAGGGCAGTGCTCCTCCTACCACAACAGCTGTGAGATCACAGAAGGCTACTGATTTTCTTTCAGTCTGAAATATCTATCGGAAAACTACAAACTGAGCAGAGTATATTCCAAATCATTATACCAGTGACGTGAACAAATGAGCACATTTCAAATATGCAGCTGTAATGGACAGTTGCGTGAAGACTATTATAAATTCAAGGGACAAGCGTAACATTTTGCTCCTAATGTTTTTTAATATGCCTTTACTGAGTAATGGCACCAACCTGGATTCTGCAACCCTATGTAAATCAGTGCCTGTTGTGGCTAAGTTGTAACGTTAACCAACCAATTTAAAACCATTACTGACACAGAAACATGTATTTAGAGATTTTGTGCCAACTAAGAAACCACAGAGTTTTTCAGTCATGTACAGGATACTCTATATGGAATGCTAAATACTCAAAACCACACTGGTTTTTGGGTTACCTTTCTTGATTGCTCATTTTGGCATACATGGCTTTTACCAATTCCGGGCTTTTTAGAAAATGGTCTGTAATGATCAAGAACCTAAGAAAAAATGAGGAAAAAGTTTGGTTACTAGAAACATAGTAATACGGACATGGCCTTTACTACTTTATAGGCATATCTTATACGTAAAAGCACTACTTTCGACTGGATTTTTCATCAGCTGAAATCTTAAAATGTTTTAAGACATTGACATACTATTTTTCTATTAGGAGCTAAAAGAAAATAAAAACCTCAACATATTTTTCTCCAGTTTTACTTCTGAAAAATTTATTGAAATGATCCAAATGTATTCAACTTGGAGGAAAGGAGCCACTACAGCTTTTATCTAAGCTGAGAAAGGAAAATATGTCACTGTAGTTTAAACAGTAAAACGAAATTTAGCTACAAGTTCAGTATAAACAGAAAACATACTGATTGTTTCAGTCAGAAACTTAGTGCTAAAATTAAACAGAGAAATAGTCACGTCACACTTTTTACTTAAACATATGCCACCAACACAGTAATGAATGCTGGCTTGACTCTCGACTCTTAAAGAACTCTCAAGTTACCAAGAAAACATCCTCATTGTCAAGCAATACACTCACCTAAACTTAAGAGGTGAACTTATGGAAACCCTGAGGCAAAGATTATAAGCATATTTCTTCCAAGTACCACTGTGACAACTAAAATGACTGAATAGTATTATTAACTAATTCTGAAGCATATTTACCAGAGGGCATCTGAAGACGCAGGAACTAAAGAATACACTGTTTATAACCAAAGTTATAGTAATGAGTGACTGTAAAGCATTAAATATATTCACACACAGCTCATTTAATCACTTCTTAACAAATATATAATAAAAGTGTATCTTTCAATATGATAACCAAATGAAGTATATTAACTACTATAACATTGTTATTTCATATAAAAACAAATCTGAACACATATTCTATTTCTTCTGCAACCTTTAAAATAACTGATCAATACTCTGATGTAAAATATTTCTAATAATAATGGATAATATTCAAAATCCTCAAGCAATTTTGATATCAATTTAGGTAGGTCAACATGCATTTCAAGCCAGGTACACAAAATTGTAATCCTAAAGCTCATTCATAATTCAGCCATTTGGAGTTCAAAACATTTTCCCACATGAACATTAATTCAAAAAAACAATGTTCCAAGTTCTGTGCTAGGGGCTTGGTCACAAGCCCTATTTCCACACGCTAACAGTGGAGAAAGACCCATACATAGACAGCTAATTAGAGAAAAATGTCTTAAGTGCAACACACACACACACACATCACCGGTTAGAGAAAGAATGATTATGTAACCAGAGGGCTTGGGGAAGAGGGGACGATAGAGGGGGCAGAAAGATCAAGGAAGCTAAAGGAGGTGCTCCATGATTCCTTAGTTGAAGGAATCAGAGGTGACAAAAAAGGACTTGGAAAAACAGCATGAAGGAAAGAAGAGCAATGTGCTCAGGGAACTAACAAGGAACAAAATACTATTAAGGTTTAAAGAAGGGTTCAGGACCAAAAGCTTACATCCTTGAGCGCTACTGGCAAATGGCCCTCAGCCGGCAGCCTTCTTCACAAGGTCTCCCTGAAGAAACCTCCCCCGACCAAGGGTGGAGCTGACTGAAGACGGTGTGGGAACCATGCCTTACTTCCCCGACAGTGATCATTAGTGTTCTTTTTCTTTTTTCTAGATCAATTTTGTTAATCTTTTTAAAGAACCAACTTTGCCTTTGTTAATTTTTTCTATTGTTTTTCTGTTTTCTATTTCATTGACCTCTGCCCTCATCTTTTATGATTTTCTTCTTTCTACTTACTCAGGATTTACTATTCTCTTCTCTTTCTATTTTCATAAAGTAGAACCTTAAGTCACTGATTTCAGACCCTTCTTCTTTTCTGATATCAACATTTAAATCCGTAAGTGTCCTTCCAGGCCCTTCTTTTGCTTCAGCCCTCAAAGTTTGTACTTTCATTATCCTTCAGTTCAAAACAATTTTCTAATTTGCCTTGTCATTTCTTCTTTGACAAATCAATTATTTAGATGTGATAATTTCCAAAAATTTGGAATTTTTCTAGGTACCTTGCTATGGTTTTCTAGTTTAAGCCCACTGTGATCAGAGAACACACTCTGTATGTTTTCAATCCTTTTCAGATAGTTATTGAGACTCTTTCCTAGCCTGGACTATGGTCCATTTGGTGAACATAAGACACGTAGTTGAAAGCGGAGTGGATCTTGCCAGTGTTGAAGTAATGTTCTGTAAGCATCACTCAGGGAAGGTGGTCTCTAGCTCAGTACTACTGAGATCACCTGCACCTCCGCTGATGTCTGTCTACCTCTTCTCTCAATGGCTGCAAAGCAAGTGTTAAAATCTCCAAATATCACTTCCAATTCCCAGCATTACCAACTAACAATTTACCCGCCTACCTTAAATAATTATAAAAGCAGACGAAACATACGGAACAACAGTATTCATACAATGGACAACAGACCCAAGTCAATCAGATTGTGGAAATAAAATGCACTTCTGAGAATTTCTTCTTAAACAAACAAAATATCCTAATGATAAATGTGATCTGATCAATTTGTTTATAAAACCCTTCAGGCCTACTTAGCAGCTTGAGACACACTGAGGAAAGGAGGGCAGTTCCACACGTCGGAATGTGTGCTGAAGACGGGGAACTGGAACTGAACAGGTTTTCCACATGCAGGGGCACTGAGAGTGCAGGGGATGGGGCAAGGACGAAGAAGGAAGACGGCTCACAGCCACGACAGTGCATGTCGCCATGACCACCAGCATTATTTGGAGCAAAAATGAAAGCAGATTCATATTTTGACCTTTATACCAAGATGAATTCCAAGCAGGTCAAACGCTTAAAGATCAAAATTGAAATGATACAATACTGGAAGAAAGACTCAGTAGAAGGGTCTTTATAGCTATTACCCAGACATAAAAAAAAGATTGACAATTTTATGTAGTGAAAAATCAAAGATTTTTACATGAAGAAAAGTGCCACAAGCAAAGTTAAAAGACAAAAAAGTGAGAAAAAAATGTCTGCATTTTATTTCATATAAAGGGCTAATATCCCTAATTTAGAAAATATTCCTACATATAGATAAGGAAAAGACTGACATCCTAATAGAAAAATGGGTAAAAAAAATGAGAATGCACATAAAATAAAAATAGGCTCTTCAACCTATAAAAAGATGCTCAACCTCATAACAAAAAAATAAAATAAAACTACACAATGATAGCATCTTAAACCTCAGCAGGATTGGCAAATCCAAAATTTTGATGGCATACTGTTAGCAACAATGTAGGAAACCAGGTACTCTCAAAATCTGTCAGAGGGAATGTATCTTAGTACAACATCTATACACGACAATTTGGAAGTGTTTGTCAAAATTAGAAAATTTATAAAAATTATAAAAGCACATCCTGTTTGACTTAATAATTGGACTTATGAATTTCCCTATAATCATACTTTCCAACATGCATATGTGACATGTACAAACAAGGTTATTCACTGCAGCATTTTGTAGTTACGAAAAGATGGAAACAACCTAAATGTTCACCAATAAGAGAATGATTAAATAAATTATGGTATATTTATACAATGGAAGATTAAAGAATTAGGGAGTTCTTTACATACGAATATGGAAAGATCTCAAAAATGTACTATCTAGTGAAAAAAGCAAGAGGCCCAAAAGTGTGGTAAGAAGAAAGAATGGCTTATCTGCTTAGGGGATGGGGTCAAATGGGATGTGCCACTCTTCCTCTACTCTGTACGTGGGTCACCGCCACGGCATGGCCACTGATGAGTGGTGTAGGTCTACGCCTGGGAACCTAACCTGGGCCACCAAAGTGGAGCACACCAAACTCAACCACTAGGCCACAGGGTCGGCCCCAAGTTTATCTTAACAGTAGCTATTTCTGGGCAGGCAAAGTTCAGTCACTTCTCCAAAATAACTTAAGAAATCTCTACATCTCTTCTCAAATAGATAAAGAGAAACCAAAACAAAAAATGACTTAATTTCATCTCTCTATCATGGCAACTCAGTGACACAGTGCTTCAGGTTATCTAAAAATCTAGGTAGAATTATGATAACTAAAATACGGTCTTCACCACTTCCTTGCAAAGAGTAACTGTACACACAAATCATGTCACAGACTAAATAAACATTGTCAAATTGGCCTCTTCTCTCTTTGCAATCTAATACCATCCCCTCTCCCTATCCAAGCCATCCTTCAACTTTTACTTTACGACCGGCATTCTCTGGAACACCTCCCTCACCCCCAGACCAGGTGAACTTCCTGCCACATGCCTCCATGGCACCCTGAGCTTCCTCTTCTGAAACTTTCATGCTGGTTGCATAGAGGTCATCTCTACTTAGATGCACAGTGGGCATCTTAAATTTCATATGGCCAGAACAGAACCCTTGATCTCCCCTAACCCACCCCCAAACTGTTCCGTTCACCTCACTCAAACAAGCCAGAAACCTCGCTCCTCTCCTTGCCTTCCTTTCCCCACACCACCCGACAAAACGAATCCATCCAGAAGCCTCAAGGGCTCTCCCTGCATGGAATATTCAATCTATTCATTTCTCTTCATCCCCACTGCTGCCACCCTCATCTAAGCCACTGTCACCTCTTACCTGGATGACTACAACTGCCTCCTAACGGGCGTCCCAGCCTCCAATCTTCCCTGTCCTCCCACAGATCAACTTTTGTCCAGCAGCCAGAGAGACCTTTTAGAACATAAACCAGGTCGTTGCACACACTGCTTAAAACTCTCCAATCGCCTCCTATGGCACAGAGAGTGAAATCAATCACCTTTTCCTGGCTTACAAAGCCCTATGTAACGGGCCTCACTGACCTCCTGGACTGCTCGTCCCCTTCACCCATTCTGCTGGACTCCCTGGACTCCCTAGTGCTGCTACAGAGGCCTCTGCCGCGGGCTCTCTGCCCTCCGTGCATTCACTGCTTGGACTGTTCTTCCCAGCCTGTCTCCACGTTTACCCACAGATCTTCAAATGGTTGG